AGTTAAAGACGTTAAAAAACTGATTAGCGGGAATCGCACGCTAAAGTTACACTTGGCAGTGTAACCATGGTGATACTTATTGTTGAGTTATGGATCAATTTTTTGTTTATGCAAGCATTTTATTATTATTTATTATATTATTAGGTAATTATTACTTAATTATTATATAATTAATATTAAGAATAATGATAATAATTATTATTATTACTAAAATAAGTCAATGACCGGATTTTTTAAAAATATCTTCCGTATTTTTTTTAATATAGCCTAAGCACAAAAAAAATTTATTTTTATTTTTGACCAATTTTTCTTATTTTTAGCATTACAAATAAAAATAATAGACAAATTTAAAAAATCACTTTTTTGAAGAAAAAAAATCATTATTTCAGTGCCATATCCCCTTAATAAATTGGAGAATCGAACCCGGGCCGCTAGGTTGATAGTCCAAGATGATATCCACCACGCCAACTCGCTGACAAATATATTGTCGAAACTTATTACTCAAAATTATAAACCATTATTTAAATATTTAATAAATATCAAACCTGCCCAATATAAGCATACAACCTTTACCCTCCTCGATTTATTTGACAGGTCAAACTATATCCACTACGTCAACTCGCTGACAAATATATTGTCAAAACTAATTACTCAGAATTATAAACGATTATTTAAATATTAAATATATATCCAAACCGACACAATATATACATACAACCTTTACCATCGATTTATTAAACAGGTCACACTGTATCAAATTAAATAAGATCACATCAAGTTAGGCTGGATCGGCAAGTTCGCGAAATATCCAACCACACAACTAACTTAAACAACCCCAAAAACACCATCGATCGATGGGAAGTAATGCCTGATTGAGTACATTTGGAATGTAAAATATTTTTCCTTTGAATTATGTATTAAACCCACTCTATAATTATCACATCCTAATTCTCGTATCAAAAAATGGTTGTCATAGTTAGAACTCCCATGCATAAATACTGGTAAAATTCTTAAGATTACATTGTGAACACAGCATATTCCTAAATCGTCCACTAAAGTCGCAGTGATCACGAACGGGACAATTAATTAATGTTAATTCACAGTCACACAGTTCATAGTCTGTAGCATTTTTAAACTGTTAGGGACATTTAATTGTGTTAAATCACCAATTAAATTAGCCAGAGTTTTCATGAATGCCTACATTTTTCAGGAGCATCTGACCCTTTGATAAATGTAGAATAGAACTTTCCAGCACAGCCTTGTTTTTGGTTTTAAACGTTCTAAGCGGAATTTCATCTGTCAATGGTTTAATATAAGTACATTCACTAAGTATATTGAACTATAAAGCCCCATAGTCACTTAAAAGGTTTTGAATACAACTTTTAATTTTTGATTCCACTGAAATTAACAAAAAACACAAGTCCTTATTTTCCTCATCACCGTTTTTAAGTTAAAATGTTTTTAAGTTTCCATTGAATGCATTTCTTAATACGTCAAATTCATTAAACAAAAATAGGTCTATTCAGTAAAATTGAATTCTTTCTTAGAAAAACCAAGATGATACCTTCTTCATCAACATGTTTTAGGATGGTTCTGTCTACAAAGCGCGCTTGTCTCACATATTTCTCAAACTCCTCCTTTGTCGTCTCAAGACGGACATCCATATGCCTCCTATTATTCTGTAGGCTTTTGCCAAAACAGGCATTGTTCATTAACTTAAATTAATAACTTAATTAACTTATATCGCTCGAGCTAGGATTTTTCTCTTTCAATATATTCCAATACAGAGTTTGTATGCAATATTTGTTTGTTTACTCATCTTTCATCGGTACTCTCGTTTTCCTAATACTTTGAGTTAATAATTTTAGTATTAACATATATCGTTACAAGGTCTTTAGGATATATAAGAAGCGGGGTTTATCTGACTACATTTATATTTTATAGTGAATCTAACACAGTTTCAATATATTTCTCATCTCAACTTGTGTTACTGTTTGCCAAACATGCACATTTATAGCATAAAACCTATTTTGTATCCAGCTTGGTTTTATTTAAAGTTAACACGTTCTGGATTCTGTGTTTGGTACTGTGATATATACTTGTGAGTTTTATTTGGCTCTCACTTATACAAAACTAATATTCTTAAAATTTGGGTTTCTAGGAACATATACACAGATCATTTAAATTTTTTATTTAACTTAAAATTTTATATTGTAAATATTTTGTTTAGAAATGACCATTTGTCCTACAATTTGTTTCGTGTTACTTTGGAGAGACCTCCTTTTTCTTCTCCTTGCACACCTCCTCGCCCGGGTCTGGTCTCCGGAGTACAACGGAGGCTGATCTTGCGGCCTCCTGGAGACCCTCTTCGAGCGACGAGGGCGGACACGTGGAGGTCTCTTCAACGTAGGGCAGGGCTCCTCCTCTGGTGTCTCCAACATAGGGCAGGGCTCCTCCTCCTCAAGTCTCCCCAAGACTGGGACTAATGAAGGGTTAAAGTTGGCTTCCTCATTTACGTGGTCCCAGTTTGGGTTTTTGTTATCCATGAAATGGACAACTGAAGGGGAGTCTGTAAAGTAAAAAAGTTAATATCGCAGTATTCATAATATGTTTAAGATTAATTTGATTTTATAAAAAACATGGTGTTTTATTTCAGAATCATGTCAAACTTGAACAAAAAGCTTCAGGCTCTCCAACACGTACCGTCTCTGCCAATTGTCTCTACTAAAGAGCTTAAAAACCAAGATGGCTATGCGATCGTAGATGCTAGAAGAGTGGAGACGAGGTTTGGCATCTCGATAGTTTGCGAAATCATAATGCCTGATAAGAGGCATGCAAACACATATCTACCGACTAGATTTAACCTAGAACTAACGGACGAGGACTTACTACAAATAAAAAACTCTGGTTACGAACTGAAAACAACAGGAATGACTGGCCGAAGACAGAATAAAAACCCCAATGTTCTAGAGTTTAAGAAGATACAGTACTCATATGTATGTGTTTGAATTTAATGTTTAATATTACATTTGGATCTATACTGAAAATTGAATATTGTTATTTTCCCAAATTTTACACACTGTTTTTATACTGAATATATATGATTTTTGTACTCATATCTTCGGTTTATAATAGCTATATGTTAATTTTCATTTACTATGATGATTTTATATTATATGAAAATAATTTATTAGATAATAGTAGTATGTGGGCGAAGATAGAACTTACATGGACTCTTATGGGAGCTCCATATTTGGACATGGGATAAAAAGTACTTGGCGGCTTGGGGGATCGAACACGGTCCGCCTGGATGAGAGGCGAGTACGCTATCCACTCGGCCACAACGGCAGTTAATAGGATAAGAGTGTAAGGTGGTATAATAGACTTGGAGGTGTGTATATAGGATAAAAAGTGTTTGGGGGGTTGAGGTCTCGAACCCGGGGCGCCTGGGTGAGAGGCGAGTACGCTATCCACTCGGCTACAATGGCAGTTAATTAGACAAGAGTGTAAGGGGGTATATGGAGGTGATAGCTGCCGTGGTAGCTAAATTCGTCGCCGCCGCCGCAGCTAATATGTCTGGTTTTGATTTTGGCCACCAGAGGGGTGATGGAGTTCTGATTTTGTCCACTAGGTGTGTTTGGTTTTGATTTTGGCCACCAGAGGGGTGACGGAGTTTTGATTTTGGCCGCTAGGTGTCCCGCGTGTCTCTGGTGGAAAAAAAATCCCGTGGGAATTCGCTGTGCGGTGTAAGAGATTGACGGAGTTCTGATTCTGGCCGCTAGGTGATTGCCGCCCCCGGGGGTGGCGTGTGTAGTTCTGATTTTCACCACTAGGTCCTGCGAGTTTGGTTCCACTAAGTGGTGGTAGCGGGATAAATCCCCGCACCGGGATCCCTGTGCAAATATCCCGATCCACAAAAATCCCCGCTCGGTTATTACTCTGTGTTTAAAAACCTTACCTGGGGAAAAATCCCGTTTCAATACAGTGGTACAATGCCCTCTGGGGACGGCAGTTCTTATTTTGACCGCAGGTTTATGTAGTTCTGATTGTTGCTACTATGTTGCACCACTTTTGCCGGATATTACTATTGGTCATCTGAAACAAAACACAAGTTTCCTGCAGCCTGCAGGACAGGGTGTGGGACTGTCCGAGAGCCTGTAGGACACCCCCAGGTTAGGGTATTATATGATGCTGAACGTCAATCCAGAAATTAATAGCTAGACTAGCTGGTAGATACGTTAGCATAACACATAATACCCCCTCCCTTATTTTAGGCTGAGAAAGATTTAATCAAAATAGATTGTAAATCTGCCTAGAATTGGTGCCCGACATATCGGGCAGGTATTGAGCCTGTAGGCACAATCTGTGCAGCAGGTGTTCCCACAAGGTTGAATGAAAATATTCGGGAGGGGCGTTAAACAAACAGCACAGCGGACCTCTCTTGATGGTTCCGGATCTTGATTGGGGTGCTGCTCTTGAAGCCAACGGGTGATGCCCACCACTATTGAGAATAACGATGACACCATTAGCTGGAGTGTCCCCTGGGCCGCCGTATATCGAAGGTCCTGGCTCTCTAAGGCAATATTATTGACAATCCAAGTGAGGTCGGAAAGATCCATATGCAGTTTATTTATATCATGCCAGGCCTCCTCTGGACTTTCGACTTTAGGAATGGGGAATCGATTGTATTGCTGAAAAAATATGAACATGCTAAAAAGCTATAGATTATAACCACACACACACACACACACACACACACACACACACACACACACAAAAATGCACGAGCTTTTTTTGTGATAATTACCTGGAAAAATTTGTCTACTCGTTCCAACCGTTGATTGAATGGAATGTTCAAGCAGTAGACACATCCACAATGAGTACACTCCGACCGTAAAATGGACGGCCTAGATTCACCACTGCTTGGGGATGGTGGTGGTGGTTCCTAAAAAATGGAAAATATGACTCACCTCATTACAACGTATTGATAAGTCCAGCGGTTATGGAGCTGGAGAGTAGGAAGTGGAAGGCCTTGAAGATTCTGCCAGGTCTAGAGCCTCTACGTTCCTCGATGTCACTCCGTATTCTCTTAAGAAGTTCCCTAAGGTGTTAGGGGATGGCGGTCTGTCAAATGAGGGAGACGGTGCCCACCGAGAGTCTCTTTCAGCTGCAGAAGGTGGTCGACTGTTGGCAGACAGAGGACCTCTGACAAAGAAGTCATCTGGTGTGCGTAGAAACTCCCTTACAGCCGCAGAAGATGGCCGACTGTCGGGAGATGGAGGGCGTCTGACAAAGAAGTCATCTGGGGTTCGCAGAAACTCCCTTATAGCCGCAGAAGATGGCCTACTGTCGGGAGATGGAGTGCGCAAATCAATGTAATCAGGAGATGGAGTGCGAGAGGAGTAATTCTGCAAATCAAATAACATTTCGGTCACAATGGTTTATTTTACTTACACACACACACACATATATATATATATATATATATATATGCATCATACACACAGGCATGGAAGAGGTGATATGGGAAGCAGAGATTTTGGGTAAGACCTAAAAAGTGGAAAAACTAAAATCTACATCTATTACAGTAGTTAAAGACAACACTATTTGTTACCTCAGGGGTTTGAGGAGGAGGCGACCAATTCGCTGCGGCGAACAAGGTGGAAGGTTGCGGCTCGTTTGTCCTCCTCGGAGGAGGAGGCTGCGCAACAGCTCCAAGCACCAGAAATAATAGACCCACAAGCATCTTGGCAATTCTGTGTGACAAAGGAAACAAGAGCTACTTTTATACCATCCTTTTTCCCCACCACTTCCTCCGTTTGAGGGGGTAGGGTTAAAAATAAAAACAAACAGGAGTTTCATACAAACATTGTGTTTATTGACTCTTTCAATGTTTAAATATTTTTACATCTGGTGATGGTCCTGTAGAGACTGTACATTGAACGCTGTATGCTTTCGTCGAGGTGAACTCCTGTAGATCCCCCGACGTCAATGCGTCCACAAATCGTGCCGGAAGAAATGTGACCTTCTTGTCTCCCTCTGCCGTTTCGATGTCCAGCAGGATTGTAGGTCTTCCGAACTTTGTGCTTACTTTTCGTGCAGCCATAATCTTAGCTGGTCTGGTGAGCTCCCTCACCGCAATCTTCGGGTAGTCGGCCTGACGCTCACAAGCAGCCATACGTGACATAAGATCCATCTGAATTCAAATTACAGCATCAAATTGGTGTGTTGTGTATATCTTCTTTTCAGACATCTTATTTTCCTTATCGTTCTCCTGAACAACACCATTGTCACTAGTGTCTTCGAGGTGCCATCGTGGCGAATTCCATTCTTCCCCTTTGTTTTCTGCGTATTTTTCAAGGGATTTAAACATGATTCTCAAATGAGGTTCATGTTTAAATCCCAAGCTATCAAAACTTTGTATCCTAAATTTCTTTAGGTCAACAGAAACAAGAGCCCAGTGTCCCTTCTTTCCTATTGGACCATGTAGTGGAACAAGAATAAGGTCAAAGGTTAGAGGGATTGTGTGAAAAATATCATTGTCATCTGGTTATTGTTAAAAAGTGTTCGTACCCCTTCACCCCTATAAAACGTCCTACTTCCAAAAATTTGTAATTTTTTTCAAATTTTTACCAGTTTCCGCAATTTTTTCATTTTCATACTTAAATAATTCCTTTTTGCAAATATTATTAATACTTTGTATTTTACTTGGTTTACTTTCGGTTTGTTACATACATGTATTTTTCGTAACTTTACTCCTTGACGCCCAAAACTTAAGTTTAATGTCAAAAATTAAAAGGTTTCACCAATTTTACGAGGTAATAATAGACTCTTTAACTATTCCTTACGCACAAGGTTATTAAAACTATACAAAGTTTACTATATTTGAGCTAACAACATACACATATAACATACATAATATATAACACACATAATATACCAAAATATGATATAATACAAATAATAACCATTATATTAGAACCTGTTTCTTCTTAAATTCTATTAATCCAATGAATCAAAAAAGTTAATGGTGACAAAGACAAATTAAACAAATCAAAAAGTTTACATGAATTTGTTTTATATTTTTATACATATGTAGATAATAATCTTACTGATTAATGTTATAAAATTTTGAATATTTTAAAGCCGTAGGTTAATCTTGTATAATTTTAAATAGGCCTATTATTTTAAATTTTAGTAAACATTAAGTAGTAAAAGTAAATAAAAGATTTTTTTCAATAAGTAAGTTATTGCAAAAATCTTTTATTTATTTTCAGTTGAAACCCAGGGAAAAAATAGTTTTTGTTTTCTTTTTCTTTTTTTCCCTCTCTTTGTAGTTAAACTTCTAGTTGAAGGAACAGGTTCTATAGGAGTGACAAATTTGCTTGGGCTTTGGGGGACACTGGTCTCTTCAATGCCCATTTCTTCAAAAAAATTCTCCGAACAATGGAGTGATAATATTGAAAATGGGCTTTGAAAGGGGATATTGGTATCCCCTTGCACACCCTCTAATGCAAGAGGTTCCAATATGAAATCCCAAGAAACTTGGTCCTGATCTTCCTCAGGAGCCCGGTCAGGGGGCTGAAGTAGATCAGCCAAAGACTTATCATAGTCTGAAGGACTAATATTAATATCATCAAAGTCAATGGCTGGAAAAACCATTGCTTCTAGTGAATCGTCCAAACAATCACCTTCGTCAAAATAAAGTGTTTGTTTGGTCAATATGGCCTTCATATGGCACCTCCATCAACGGATGTCCAGACTGTATGACTTGTGTGGAATTGATTTGTTACGGGATAGTCGTTCCGCCATCCACGTAACAAAAAAAAACTCCTCACAATCCTTATCGTTCTCCTGAACAACACCATTGTCACTAGTGTCTTCGAGGTGCCATCGTGGCAAATTCCATTCTTCCCCTTTGTTTTCTGCGTATTTTCAAGGGCTTTAAACATGAATCTCAAATGAGATTCATGATTATATACCTCAATGAATCATAACACTTGATCCTAAATTTACTTAGGTCAGTAGAAACAAGAGCCCAGTGTCCAGTCCCCACTGGAATATGTAGTGAGGCAAGGATTAGGCCGTAGGTAAGAGGGTTAATCGTACGAAACCGTTTCATTACCCTATCTACATGTCCCTGTTCAAAGTCCACAAAAAACGCCGCGACAAGATTCAAGACCCGTGGATAATCTGCTGCACAAGAGCTGCGCAGCTCGAGTAGTCGGAGGTAGCTATGTCTTAATCATTGATACATTCATCTGGCTCCACGATCAGCATATCTCTTGGTGATAGAATAATTGGTCCGCGCATCTGGCACAACAAAAGAAAATATATGAGTACACAAGTTAGTTGATATATAATATATAGTTGTAGAATGTACACCTTCAATCTGAAAAAAATTAATTTTCAACAACAATTAACACCCTCAATCTGAAAAAGAATTAATATACAACAATTAAAAGTTTATAAATCAATACCTCTATACAGTAATATTTCTTCACCACCCGCAACAAAATTAGAAATATAAATAATATATAATTTACAAAAATACTTTAAGGGGGCATCATATGCAAAATATTAAGTTTTATACTACGCCATTTCAAACTGGTCAGAGTGCAGTTAATTATGTGAACTCAAATCAAACCATTCACTGCATGCATGCACATGGGTTGGAAAACAAGTACGAAGGCAAACATGGGATCCCTACTGTATCTGCAAGTTATCCAACCATAATAACCGGTTTTGAAGTTGCCTCATATTATGGCTGGGATCCTGCCATCTTCTGGGGTAACCGTACGGGTAGTATGCCTATATACAACGACTTGGGATGTAACAGTGGCAAGGAAATGCCATTTCCTATGTATTATTATAATACTGAACCAATTCTAATAATAATTTTATTGACATGTCGTTTGAAGATATCAACATCTTCTCCGGTGGCTTCTTACCACCTTCATTACACGTAGGTGTTATGCCAATAGCATCATGGAATTAATTACCTGATAATAAAAAGTTCGTGCCGGCTACTGTAACTTGGCATATAACTACACATATTGAAATTGAAGCTTCCCAACAGTTTATGGATCCATTTATGAGTCTTGGTACACCACAGGCTGCCAGCACCTTCAACACGGATTTATTGAAACTTGACGGATATCCCTACAACTGGTATGGTTATAGGTCCAGAATAGAAACATACGGAGACACTGGAACCCAGTCTGCCCGGAAGGACACACTAGCAGCAGCTGACTCTGGAGTCGCATTTAAATCTACTAAGCCACAGCAATTACAGACTACAGTTGAACCAAGTAGTTAAATTGTAACTCAAGAAAATATTTCAAGTACAAGTAGTACTATTACTACACAACAGAAATTCCAATTGAAAATGTAAATGTTCTGCGACGTGTTCCCCGATCCATTTGCCTCCGGTGTTTGCGTGTGAGACTGTGTCACGGTTGTTGTTGATGTTGTATCCGTCGAGTGGCTGCCGGTACAACACGAATGTGGGGGTTCGATTGGGAAGTTAAATGATTAAAATCAACCGAGCTTCTAGTAAAACACGATATATTGACTAAGTCTATATATTGACTAATAGTTCTAAGTCTCAAAATGCGACTAAACAGTTGATAGCTGCACTGACGGGCTCTCTGAGAACACCCTCCAGTAGCAGGTCCTAACCGAGAAGTTTTGGATCTGCTCCAGAGTCCAGCTTAAATACGGATCTCTAAGTGGGGGCGCAACCCTCCTTCTAGAACCTTCTAGCAATATCAATAAATGTCTAATAAAATAGTTTGAGAACTGTCCATTAACAAAGTTAAGTATCATCTAGGAAGTGTCAAAGTGTTGGGTTAGGCTTTAACATATAGCTTCATAAAATAGATAGGGTTGACAGAGTTAAGGATCAACTAAACAGATAAGTGCTCTCCTTATCTCAAGAAAACAGAGGGCTGAGACCTAAGTTATACAATTTGACATATTTATGTGGGCCTCTATTGATAATTATCACAAGCATTCTTGAAAACCCTACCCTTATTGATGAACAACAGTCTCCACTTGGAGTTAATTGTTGTTGTGAGTTGGAAGTAATTCACATAAAGATCAAAACTGATTACAAACTGTCACTAAACTATGGCACTACAACATTGACATAGTATCTATCTGTTGACCAACCTGGCTTTCTTCTGCTGAAATTGGTAATAAGATTTATAGATTTATTTGCTTAACATTTTATTCCAAAAGATGTTTCAACACATTTTTAGCGAATTTCCCATATAGGGAATAAGCTATTACCGTAGGTCTCATGGTAAGACCTAGACCCGGGACCGATTTACTTTTTCGTTTTGAGGTCCCCAGAGGCTAAAAACACCATCCGTTCAAATTCACATATATATATATATATATATATATATATATATATATATATATGTGTCCGTTAGCGCGATAACTCGAGCAAAATTGATCCGATTTTGATGAAATTTGGTACAAACGTGTAAACCTACATTTATTCGAACGAGTTCGCGAACCAGCATAATCGGACCATGGGATCAGGAGTTTATGGGGGGTTTTATGGGGTAAAAATGGATTTTTCTCATTTTAGACCCTAAAAACTTTAAATTTCTAAATTTCTCTCTAGACCATTTTGAAGAGCTTAAAAAAACAAATAATTTAGTATATTGAAGTGTCTTTGAATGTTCATTGACTACGGAGAAAATTAAAAAAATTGTACATTTAAAATTCCCATGT